GATGACAGCAAGAGAACGAGAGATAACCGACTCAAGTTGCGCAAACAGCAGGTGCTGCTCAGGTCGAGACAGGAATTTTTTACTTGCAGAGTGGTGAACGCGTGGAATGCGTTAGATGACTAAGTAGTGGCTGCCCCTTCTGTGACTATCTTTAAGAAGAAACTGGATGCTTTCATGGACAGGTGAAAAGGTGGGGAATGCTGACATTAGGTACTAGACAGTAAGCAACTAGGATAAGCCACAAAAAATACAAAGCTATTTAGCTTAAAGAGGATTAGGCCTTCTCTAATATTAAGGAACGCTCAACCTCGACACGTGATATCGAAATGGGTGAAATCACCTCTTGGGATCACAATCTTGAATATTCCTTCGTCAAATAGCAAAGCGTCACGCGATGCATTTAAAAGATGTTGGATAAGAGTACATGATTTGATAACCAATATGTCTTGGCCCTTCTGTGATTTCAGTAACTCCATGGTTATGCTGACTGCACTGTCGGTCGGGTGCATGTGACACACTGATTCTTTCATCAAGTTCTAACAGATCCTCTAAAACCAGTAATTCGGATTCCAATATTTCCATCCATCATACTCTTCCGGCTGCTAAGAACGAAAGTGAAGGAAGAGCGGGATATCAATAGAAAAGCACACAGCTCAGTATTATTGAGTTTGGGCCTTTTGGTCGATGTGTTGGATTAGTCCGCATACCTACAGGGCGTTTCATTTAAATTGTACATATTTGAACGCTCATATCTCTGAGAGGACGCAACCGTTCTTTACGAAATTTGAACACAATATAGAGCAACCTTTGCCAAATTATTGGACAGAGTTTCTTAATCGCAGCGCCATCTATTGAGTTGAAACATCGATTCTGACAAAATCTCTGAAACCAAGATCTTATCAACTTGATGAAATCTTTTAAAGCTCATCATTCGTTAGATAATGCCTTGATCCAGTGGTGCTGAAAATTTCATGATTGTATCTCATCTCCTTACTAAGATNCATCAGTTTACCTAACCTTCATTTCGACGACCTTGTGCATTCTGGCCAAAAAAGTTATAGCCTTCCGCTGTAGGCCTCATGCGTCAGGGCTATGGTAACAGGGGCTCAGGCCAAAACATCGGAAAAATCCATGGCATTGAGAGTATTAAGTGTAAGCGGATGGGTTAAGTGGCTAAGGTTTGACGATTCATATCTTAGTAAGGAGATGAGATACAATCATGAAAGTTTCAGCACCACTGGATCAAGGCATTATCTAACGAATGAGATGAGCTTTAAAAGATTTAATCAAGTTGATAAGATCTTGGTTTCAGAGGTTTTGTCAGAATCAGTGTTTCAACTCAATAGATGGTGCTGCGATTAAGAAACTCTGTCCAATAATTTGGCTCTATATTGCTCTAGGTTGCTCTATATTGTGGTCAAATTTCGTAAAGAACGGTTGCGTCCTCTCAGAGATATGAGTGTTCAAAGATGTACAATTTAAACGAAACGCCCTGTAGTATCTTGGAATGTTTTTTCTCACTCAGGTTTCGTCGGGGGTGAAGCATTGGGAACAGTTTTTTTTCGAGAACAGCGGGCTAGGTTTTTAGCGAGCTAGATTTCGTCATGCCGAGGAATAATACAGGGTTCTCCTCAAGATACAGGTTTTTCCACACGACTACTATTCATAGTAGATTAATAATATTTGGACATACCCTTCAGACCATGAGGAACACATATCTTTGGTCAACGAAAATGTCCATCAGAGGGCTTCACTGATCACTACATTTGCATAGGCTACTAGTTGTCTGGGACTACATTAAGTTTCACAGTCAATACTACACTGATCTCCTTCGCTACCATTGAAACCAGTATAGCCTTGAGGCTCTTCAGCACTGAAAGCAGACGTAGTTTAGCTCTGGCGTAGGACTCGAAACTTACTCCCCTGTAGAAATGACTACTTTAGTGAAAGTTGCGTGCGCTGAAACCACTATCATAGTAAAAATGGTGAACGCCGATTCACAACCATAGTAAAATCCGCGTACACAGGACTTAAACTATCACGCGAAAATGACTACTCTCAGCTCAGATTGTTTGCAATAGGCTATACTGTGTCTTCGTAGCATATCTTATCCAGTCATGCCTTCAGGGTCAGAGTGGGTGATTATCACTTCCCTGAAACCTTGCCTTGATCCGTTGGGTTCTTATCGGTGCAGGAATTGAAGCATAACAGACGAGCATAAAGTGTTTGTGAGGCTTATCAGTTCGGTGGTTTTCATGTGTGAAGAAAACGTGTCTGTGGAGATATGGCTGACTATAGCTACGCGTCGATCGCGACATACCTCCGCCATGGAGGTACCCCTCGTCCATGAAGAACATGACTATGTGAAGCCCACGGCAGTAACCTGAAATACTGGCATGGAAGGTGTGGAGAAAATGCGAGTGCGAAGAAGACATTGAATGATGAAGAGCAGGGCGTCATCGTGAAAGCTGACCAATGCGATTCGACCCTCCAGATCGAAATTGGGAAGAACCAAAATATAAAGACATCGGCCTCCATTGTGATAACAGCGAAATCATTGCACCTTTCCAACTGCTATCACAGAAATAAAATATGCGAAGAAAATATTTGTTCATGGAAGAGTCATTTTGGCGTGAAATTACTAATGTAGAATGGGCGAGCAACATATTACTGTGGTAGCAAAGTTAGCTAGGCAAAATCGATTATGGTAGTCACAATTGCGCATGCAAAAATCACAACAGTAGTCAGTTTTGACAGGAGTCAGATTCGCGTGCCAAACCGGCCTATGATCGCTAACACACTCGTCAGCATCTATTTTTTCGTGAACGATGTCACGGAACAGGTTATCATTACAAGGACGATACAGCAATAACAATAAAACTGGAATTGTATGACGCTACGCTGTTATTGAAGTGAGATAGGCCTTCGCAAGGGACCACTGCGACACTGTGAACTTTCATGGTGATGATGCCGATTGTCAGGTCAACTTCTCGGTTGAATTCCTCAACAATCTGAATCCTTCGGGACTCCCCACGCCTTAAACTTTAAAATCGGAGCTTTTGTAATGCTTCAGCGGAATCTCTCGATCGGAACGGCCTTTGGAACGGCTCGCGTATGATCGTGTGAAACACGAACGTAAATGTTACAAGTTGAGGTGACCAAGGATGCGCTTCATGGCAGCGTTCATTTGCTGCCAGGAGTTTCACTAGAAACGTCATCCGACGTCAGCATGCCGTTCGATCTTTGTCGACGTCAATCCCCTATCGAGCATGCCTACGATATGGATATGAATGAAGTCTCAGGGACAGACACTCGATCGAGTCGGACTGCAGCAGTATTCACGAATGGGCAGTTGTACGTTGCCAGAGAGCGAGTTTACGCTGAGGATTCGCTGAAGATTCAGGTTATCGATGGACCGAAGTAAGGCAAAACTGATGTTGGCATCGTTACATAATATTAATATATGGTCCATGAAAAAGTACTACTTTGATTGTCAAATCCATTTGTTGGGACTACTTTGTTCATAACGGAAAACAAACTGTCCGTTTTATTCCCACGTATGTCTCGTTTCTCGGTTTTTCATGGTTCCTAGCATATTTGTTTCCACATGTCGAACTAGTTCTTGGTTATTTTTTGCCCATACTCGCTGGTGTAGCACGATGCGGCTTGGCGTCTCTTTGATGCATACATGTTCCATCGTGAAGTGTTGGTCAAATTTTGCCAGCGGGAATATGGCTGAGACTGTTATTAGTTAATGAACCGTGACAAAATAGTATAGGTCCTTCGGTAGAAAGCCGCAATTATGGCAACAGGCCGCTAGCATATACGAGGGTCATTTCAAAAGCAATGCACAACTTACTCATATTTCAGTAATAAAAAAATTATTTCGCAAAACGACTTTACAGACCTTCAATATAATCACCATCCTGTCTTATGATCGCCTCCCAACGCTTCGGTAAGTTTTGCACACCCGTCAGCAGGCCCTCGGTGTTGATGCGGCGGATAGCTCGGGACACTTCAATGGAAGCCTCCTCGATGCTTCGGAAACGTTTGCCACAAAGTGGTTTCAACTTTGGAAAAAGATCAAAGTCTGGCGGACTCATGTCAGGACTTGAGAAAATTTCTGTAGTAGGCTGTTGTTGCAATATTCCCTTGAGGTGATTGCGACTGATAGGGTATCAGTCGCAATCACCCCGTTGTGGAATAGGATAGGTTCCAAAGAAACTTACGCCCAAAAATTCGCACCTACAGACCTGATATGCTTGCGACCAGCGTTTTCTTCCTGCACGACAGCGCTGGGGCCACACAAAGCAGTTACTGTGGCTGAACTTTTGGAACACTATGGGTGGGGGGGGGGGGGGGGAAGTTCCTCCCACCCATAGTCAGGTGGTCCTGACATGAGTCCGCCTGACTGTGCTTTTCCCAAAGTTGAAGGAACCACTTCGTGGCAAACGTTTCCGAAACATCGAGGAGGCTTCCACTGAAGTGTCCCGAGCTATCCGCCGCATCAACACCGAGGGCCTGCTTTCGGGTTTGCAAAATCTACTAAAGTGTTTGGAGGCGATCATAAGACAGGATTGTGATTATATTGAACGGCTGTAAAGTCGTTTTGCGAAATAATTTTTTTTTACTGAAATAAGAGCAAATTGTGCATTATTTTTGGAACGACCCTCGCACTTGGAATTCTCATTCAATTTGTTCTGATGACAATTTTTTTCTCTTTCAGATCACAATGAAAACCTATGATTTTCTGATCACAATCGAACAGCATCTTGATTTCTTTTCTGAATGGGACTAGGATTTCATTCATCTTGCCACATGAGATGAACGATTCATTTTGATTGTATCGAAAAAAACACAACCGGTCTTCCAAGTTTAGGTGTGAAATCATAAGCTTTTTGATGACATTAAAATGCTTGAATCCAATCTGAAGTTCAACCCCGCTGACATTTTTCTTCAACTGCAGCTATGCTGCTACAGAGGCAACGTCTGGACGAAAGATGAGTCACTGTCGCATTGTTGAAAGCATGGAGAACGTTTTAGAATTGTTTTTCATGGCCTTTTTTGGGGAATTTATTGCCGCCATCAAAATCAACTCTTTCAAGTCCATTCCCCATGTCATGCTATTGCGCTACAAGGTGACCTATGATTCAAAGCGTTTCATTTTAATCCTCGTAAACATACTATATGAACTATAGACGTAAGTAATGTTAAAGAGCAATGATCATTCCCACCCTATAGATAGTATTCAAATTCAATATAAAATCACAGTAACACCGCCGACAGATTATTTTTACCGCTATTTTATGTCAATGTGAAAATGTGTGAAAGCTGATTTTGGTGCAATTTCTGCAGAGGTGCCTCCAGGGGGAAACTGCGAGAATTACCCGGAAGACTGTGTAGAAAATGCTGTTTGTCAGGAGATGTGCACTTGTAACGAAGGATTCCAGGAAGAAGGAGATCACTGTGGTAAGTATACAAATTACAGGCGAAGCAGTTCCTCCTGAAGCAATTCCACTATCACTTAGAGGGATTCTTTATGGTTTGGGAAAGAGAAAGCGTCTCATCAAATGCTGCATAAAAGTAAAATTATTCCAGGGATTTTGGTGACTTGTTTTAACAAAGCTGTTTCTATTAACAAGGACTATTTTCAGCGCAAACACAATTTCTTTTTAAAATACATTGAGTGATAACTTCTTTGTTTACATATTCTGCTTTGTTTATTTTTAGAAGCTAATCCGGATCCAGGTCTGGGCGAACCATGCGACTCAATCATACAAAATTGCATCACCGAAAATGCAGAATGCGTCGGAGATGCTGAATCAAAGAAGTGCCGATGCAAGGATGGATATGTACTGGATGGAGACGTTTGCAGTGAGTAGTCTTGTCTGATCAGCATGTAGTTGGATGGGACGCAGATGGGGCGTCCAAAAGGTGCTTGACTCATGGAAGCCTTGGTCGAGGAGACGCAGCCAAAAATGTCGAAATATACAAGGGCCTGTTAAAAAGTTCCGAAACTATTTCTAGGTAAAAACCTGCTAAGCCTGAGGAAAGAGGAAATGATGGCCATTTTTTGCAACCACCTTAAGTGCCATCGTAGGTTGAGGAGGTGCAAGCTACTATCAAAACGACGACCCTTCTGCTGAAACTTCACGCGCGGAAAAAAGAATCGCACATTGCGAGACCTGGTCAGCACGCGGATTGGGGATGAACTTTCCCCTCTTACTTCATGAGGAAGTTCGCCTCAGTGACATATGTGTGGGCCGGAGCATTTTTATCCTCTAGCAGCAACTCTCCAATCTCCAGTAACGTAGTCGTTTAGGATAAATGGCATCGCCTAAACGTTGAAATCTTTTTTTTGTGGCCCTCCCCCTCAGCGCTATGAATTGAACATCCTAACAAAAAGTAAAAATGAGTTAGATTGGTTCTGGAGAAAAATCACACACATCCTGCAAGTGAGCATTATTGGACATCTCAACAGATTCCATGCCAGTCCATATGATATTCATCAAATATTACCCTGAACTGTCTTCGAGCTCCCAGTAAAATATATATTATCTAACCCCGCTCGTGACCTGAACACAGCAGTCTAGCTTCTGGATATTCTTTAAACATGATGAATGGGAGGGGTGACGTGACTTTGAAATAGGGCAGTCACGTAAATGGCCCGACAGTTCGTCTAACTCCAGTGGCAGAGATGCTGTGTTCAAACCCAAATAAATCAAGCGTTCATTTCCTTCCCAAGCCCCCATGCACTTGGGAAGGGAAATTCCTATCACTAAAATTCCGGTGTCTAAATGTAGAAAGTTGAAGTTTCGGTTCCCAGATAGGCAGATTCTTTAGGGCGCCCGTGCAGTGTTACTTCATGATTTCGAAAGTTTTTTTCACAGATGAACAAGAAATCCGTCACTTGACCCTAGGATTGCCAACCGTCGATAAAAATCGACGGTTGGCAGGCCGTCATGCTGTATCTGGGAGTTCTACGCAGCTAAGCATAAACGTACAGTGAGGTACATATTTTCTACGTTATGAGATACATACGTATGTCGTAAAATACGCTTGGCATGTTCTCGTTGCCCACTGATGCTCTTCCTTTCACCCCTTTTCGCCCTCGCCATGGGGCATGTACTAGCCCCTTCACCTTGGCTCGGAGAACTACTTTCTCCGCTCAGTCTTGCCCTTAAAAGGTGGAGGTCTCCGGATATTCGGGGCATTCGTGGAGCATTCGTTCAACACTAATCAACGGAGCCATTTATCCTCGCTGATTCAACAATACTCGACGGTGCCATCTACGCCCGCCGATACAACACTTCTCAACGGAGCCATTCTCGCCTGCCGACTCTCCACTTCTCGGCAGAGCGTCTCGAAAGTCTTCTCTCACTTCCAGCCAACAGCTCCTCCAACCATCTCCCCAAATCCTGGTGACCTCCACTTGGAGGATGTCTTATTGAAGGGATTAAACCTTACTCGTAAAAATCCTGTTTACCACATTCTTCCATGTTCACGTGAGACTTGGCGCGAACCCACGCAAGCCTCCACACGTATACGTATCCCTCAACAGCGCCATAACGCCAACCACGTGACACGTTCGTTGAAAAGGTACAGAGGCAGATTGAGGTACACATGGGTATCCTCATCTCAGTTCAGAAAGTTCAGATGGAGTCTTTTCTTTAGGATCCCATGCATACCTCATTTCGGGCTTAAAACTTATTCACGAACCGTAATTATCAGTTTTGAGGAGCTTTGAAGAGAGTTTTAATGGCACCATCATCCGGCACCACGTCTCTGACAGCCGTCACAGAAAACACGCTGACAGCGCGGCAGTCTCAATTTCGCAAAGGACGTGCCGGCCGTCTCATGAATAGTGCCCTCTCTAGTCATCATGGGGACAGCAGGTAATAAGTCCATCCTGCTCTCAAGGACAATCTTCTAAGTTTATTGACATTTTGCTGCTTAATTATCCGAGAGTAAAAACTCCTAACCTGTCAGGCTTCACTTTTCTGTTCCTGTGCTAAACCCCAACATTTAAAATTTTCCAGAATCAAAGCTTGCCATTGAAAAATGATTTTACTTTTACCAAATAATGCCTTACAAGTATCATAATAACATGAATATAGAGAAAGGAAGAAAACTTTTCTCCTAAGGTCTGGTGCGTCCTGACTCGAGTTCGAATGTTTGGGGGAACATAAACGCCATCTTATGCCTATTTTCTGTATTGCATTGAGAACCCGGACATCTGCCTTTGCAACGTACGCATGTGTACGTCTGGATCACGTCCGCACAAAGGTACACACAGAGGTATACATGCGGACCCGAGGGACACATATGTACCTGTCACATTCGTACCTCTCCTTGCACGTTTCTTCTCGTACTTGGCTGTGTAGGGTTGAAACAACGTTTGCGTTGGACATAACACTCCTATCCGATACGGTGAACTAGAACCTCGATATTGAAAGTATTGAAAATGTTCTGCAGTTTCACTCTCAAATGATGCAATGTTATGACTGCTTTGCAGAAAAAAAGGAACTGAGTGACTTAACTATACCTTGCTTTCTGCGGATATTCACTAATCTCTCCACATAGTAAAAAAAAAAACCATGAAACTAACATTCACGCAGTTTTCCTGGGAGCGGTATGCGCGAAACCCACCCAAAGTTTGCGGCGAGATTCTCGATCTCGATGTCATCCTAAACTTCCCCATTCCTTCGATGCAAAACGTCAAGGAGAAGAAAGAGGAGGACCATTAAAAAAATTTAGACTTGGATCTATTCCTGTGCGAAGGATCTCGTTGCTTTGCTCATTCCTAGAGCGAACGGCGTTGGAAATCCCCTCTGCCGCTCCCCACGACGAGATTCCGTGCACACATGGGATAGGTTGGCAGATTTCATCAGTGTTATCCCACTCGCCTCTTTCTCCGCATTTCTTTTACACAATTGGTGAAAGTCCCGGTCTGGGGGAACCATGCGACGCCGTCCTTGCAAATTGCACGACAGCAAACTCTGAATGCGTCGGAGACGAAGGATCATAGACTTGTCAATGCGTGGATGGATTAGTAGCAAATGGAGAGGTTTGCAGTGATTACCTAGTACAGACACAGTATCCCATTCTATTGAAATTTTAGTGATCTGTCCCACTGCGTCGATCAGGGGGACTTACACGAAACAGAACAAGTGGTAATGTGCCTTGTAAATTCAGAGGTTTGACAAGGATAGATGTAACTTATTTACGCTACGTCTGTAATGTGAATAGAAGTTCTATATTTTCCAGGAAAGTTTTTTGAATAAAAGCTACTAATACTGCATCTGAAGCCCGGAGACCATTATATTCCATGTCTCCAACTACTAATGGTAGACTTAAAGGGGCAGTAATACCAGCTGTTTGTAGCTTTAATTTCATAATGTTCATCTCCTCCTCATAGCTTATGCAATTCAACTACATATGGTTAATAGTCTCAAACATGGCACCTACCACAGAGTGTGGATTGCTCACAAGTTATCTTGAAAATACATTTTGTACGGGAATGTTCAATTCTAAACTTACATAGTACCACTTCAAAACGCCTATCATCTGAGTTACTTACGTCCCATTGTCTTGGGGTTGGCTGTGGTTGATATAGGTGACGGCGTTAACGTCGCACCGCGGGAGTGATTCGTCAAGTAGCAGTCGTTCGGAGCAGTCGCCAAGAAGCCAATCGGAACGAGCCGCCAAGCACACAACGGGACTTCTATCAACTAGGGGTATTCGCCAAAATTGTTGACATAATCCAGTTCCTCCATTGGAATGTAAGCTGTGCCGTGTCCGTATTATTTTCTTTTATTTCCATATTTCTATTCACAAAATTATCTATTAATTAAATCGAGGGTGCATTCTACTCAGAAGTCTAACTAGAAAACTAACAAGTTAATAGGCATAATATTTCTCCCATTCATGCAGTTTTTTGTTGTAGTCACGGTAAATACCATGATGAAATAAATATATTATTACCGTTGATTATATAATACAAAAATATATAGTTTTATTGTATTCTTTTCACTCTGCTGGGAGGGGTGGAATATGTGCGACCAGACTCGGTATGACTGAACTATCACTTCCAGAAGGCACCTCTGCTCGGGTAAGCGATAAAAGCAATTCTGGAAGTCGTCATATGGAGCACCACATCTGCAAGTGTTTACATGAGTCACATTAGAATTCAAAAGAGTGCGCAATGATTGCATCTCACTGGTGCTAATGACCTGGGATTAGCACAGGTACCATCCAACACGACGAAACTGCCGTAGAATGTTGTGGTAAAGAGAAAATTCGCAAATACTTCTTTTGTTGATCCCCAGCCTGTATAACTTCAAGCATTATCATTTTAAAATTAATGTAATATATCTTAACACTTTGCGTACCGCTCACAGAAATCTCCGTTTTTGAGTCCTTTCGCGAGTCCTTTTGCCTAGCTTATGGCCGAAAAAGTGATAGCCTTGTAAACATCGAGCTTCAAGCTAAGGTAACATGCTTAGGTCAGAATGGCGGATCGACGGGGGAAAATGTCTGGCACGCAATGTGTTAAGCTCATAAAATATGGTGAAAACAAACGATTTTCTGGGAATTCACCAGATCCATCTATCAGTAAGTGCGTGCGCCTGCGTGTCTGACTACACACACGGCATGAAGATGGGAGCCTGCTTCTCCTCTTCGGTGTCCATTTCAGGATAAAACGGATGCAAGCACTGTGGGACATATCCAAAAATCCCACATCTGGGACTTATCTACCTTCCTACAGCATCAAGCAAACTTGTACCTCTAATAGTAGGGGAAGATGGGCGATCGGCAAAACGGGGCATCTCAGATTTTACCCAAACCATACTATCGGCTACCATCTATCGGCTATTTACCT